ATTGTGTTTTAACCGACCGTTTGTGTTGCGTTATATAGTTTCCAAATTTTGCTAAACCCTGTTCGATTTAGTGTGATGTTCCGTCTCTCTGTATCCCCTGGTATATCTGTGTTAATTCCCCCTACTTAAGGTCTGTATATATATCTGCGGTTATGTGTTTCCTCTACCTGATGATGATTGTTTGTGTTGCGATCGAAAAGTCGTATGCTATTATATAATTTTATTTTTTATTATTTCTACGTGACTTTACCGAAAAAACCAAAGAGTAATTTCCACGTCCCATCTGTATGGGATTCAGTGTTGCTCCCTCGCACGCGTGGGGTTTCTCCAGGTGACCCGCCTCTTCTCCTTTGCCTATCACCGACCGCCTCTCTCCAGGAAATAAATGACGATGACTCGGCTGGAACAAGATTAGTACGGTTGGCCACGTACAGTGCGAAAGTTCAACAACATAGATACATGCGATGGTGGTGATGGTGGTGATGGTGGTGGTGATGGTGGTGACGATGGTGACGATGGTGGTGGCGATGGTGACGACGGTGGTGATGATGAGGTTGGTGATGATGAGGTTGGTGATGGTGGTGGGGGTGGTGACGACGGTGGTGGTGACAGTGGTGATGATGAGGTTGGTGATGGTGGTGGGGGTGGTGACGACAGTGGTGGTGACAGTGGTGATGATGAGGTTGGTGATGGTGGTGGGGGTGGTGACGACAGTGGTGGTGACAGTGGTGATGATGAGGTTGGTGATGGTGGTGGGGGTGGTGACGACGGTGGTGGAAGTAACTCTCAGGAAGCAGACCCCAATCCGCTCGGTACACACATTAGTCACAACGGGTACACGAGCGCACACAAGCGGGCAGTAAATTAAAATAGAATAACAGCAGTAATTAAAAGCAAACAAAACCAAAAGACAGAAATAAATATACTGCCAAAATCAACATTTAAAAAGCCCCGAGTAAACAACGATGCATGCGCTTGACGGTTAGCGACGGGGCTAGCGGCATTGGGTGTGCACACGGCCAAGGCGCGAGAGCGCGCGGGTCGCCCTGCCACGGCGACACCTGGGAGTACACCTGGGAGAACACTTGGGAGAACACATGGGAGAACACATGGGAGAACACTTGGGAGAACACATGGGAGAACACCTGGGAGAACACCTGGGAGAACACTTGGGAGAACACCTGGAAGAAAACCTGGGAGAACACATGGGAGAACACTTGGGAGAACACATGGGAGAACACTTGGGAGAACACATGGGAGAACACCTGGGAGAACACCTGGGAGAACACCTGGGAGAACACTTGGGAGAACACTTGGGAGAACACCTGGGAGAACACCTGGGAGAACACATGGGAGAACACATGGGAGAACACTTGGGAGAACACATGGGAGAACACTTGGGAGAACACCTGGGAGAACACCTGGGAGAACACCTGGGAGAACACTTGGGAGAACACTTGGGAGAACACCTGGGAGAACACTTGGGAGAACACCTGGGAGAACACTTGGGAGAACACCTGGGAGAACACCTGGGAGAACACCTTGGAGAACACCTGGGAGAACACTTGGGAGAACACCTAGGAGAACACCTGGGAGAACACCTGGGAGAACACCTGGAAGAAAACCTGGGAGAACACCTGGGAGAACACCTGGGAGAACACCTGGGAGAACTCTTGGGAGAACACTTGGGAGAACACCTGGGAGAACACCTGGAAGAAAACCTGGGAGAAAACCTGGGAGAACACCTGGGAGAACACCTGGGAGAACTCTTGGGAGAACACTTGGGAGAACACCTGGGAGAACACCTGGGAGAACACCTGGGAGAACACTTGGGAGAACACCTGGGAGAACACCTGGGAGAACACCTGGGAGAACACTTGGGAGAACACCTGGGAGAACACCTGGGGGAACACCTGGGAGAACACCTGGGAGAACACTTGGGAGAACACCTGGGAGAACACCTGGGGGAACACCTGGGAGAACACCTGGGAGAACACTTGGGAGAACACCTGGGAGAACACCTGGGAGAACACCTGGGAGAACACCTGGGAGAACACTTGGGAGAACACCTGGGAGAACACCTGGAAGAACACGGGTGTGTGTGGGGTGTGAGCGAGACTCGCCGAGCACAACGTGCAAAACGAAAACTAAACATTGCAGGCGCGACGACGGGTGCCTCAGTCTAAAAAAATATATAAAACGTCGCGAGTCATTTAAATAAAAAAAAACTGAAATGTTACCTGACGTCGTCTGGTTTTTAAATGCTCTAGTCATGGAGAGTATTAAATCGATCCACTGCTGGATGAAAGCCTCCCTGTGCCATGGGGTTCTACGCAAGGGTGCTCTGGACTTGCTGGGGGCCACGGGATGGGTTTACATTTAATTAGTAATAATTGGTGTTACCCATGGCCAGGAATCAAACTGCGCCACCGCTCAACTAATTCACGACAAAATGTCTATTATAATAATATTGCACGGCATAGCCTGGGTCCCAAGATGTTTTCAAGACGGTCCTCTACTGCATTGAAGTGTCTGGCCAATACCATTAGCAAGTGCTTGATTTCACGTGGAAGGAAACTGGAGACCACAGAGAAAACCCACCGAGCTTACGAGAGGGCGTATCGCTCAAAACTCCGCACACATAGATTCAAGAATCCATCAGTGTCCCCATCTACCTAGCCGTCCAATAATTATCCCATGTAATTATCAACATACGCTCTCCGGCCTGCTGAGATTGCGAGATATGAGATTGGGCGCGTTCAAGGTAATTTGATCGTGGATATTAAATCTAATTGATTGACCAAGCTTGAACACGGGTGATACTGAGGGCAAAGTCCATTAAAATAATCAGTGAATTCCGATTCAACTTGAACTTGGGGTGGCGTTCATCACTGCGGGCAGCACTGAGCCAAAGGTGGAAATTCCACATTCTTATGGATGGGACATATCTGTTGATTTGACAGTCACTGGCAACGTCTCACCGCGAGGTCCGTAATTTATTGCCGCGGCAGGGATGATAAATTCGCCTTCATGTTGAATTGGGCTCACAGTATCACCTGGCCAGCGCTGTTTTAACAGTAACAATATCTTACATGACAAACACACACCGCCTTACACGTCGTTAACACAATAAGGGTGGAGCAGTGGACAGCGCAACGCACTCCGAGCTCGGCCACCCGAGACCACGCCACGACGAACATCAGTGACGAGTGAAATCTGACCCAGTCCTTTTCATGAATCCGCACTGACCCGTGTGGTGAAGTATGGTTAACCCCCCCCCCCCCAATCCTCCCACCCGACAACAGCCTTCATTCATGTCGGACTTGACAAAAGCTCTGTAAATAATCATCATTATTATCATCACATTATATCATCATCATTACAATATCCCTTGTTCATCGTACATTTCTTACAGGATGTGCAAACACACGAGTACCTTCCCGTACGGCTGCACGTCGCTATATTCCAATCAAGGTCTCCCTTTCAGCAGTGGCTCTTCCTGTAATAGATTCACAAATTCCGCCACGGAAACGTGGAATGTCCATCGCTGACTCAAGGCTGTCAGGCAGGAGACGAGGACCTCTCCAATGCACTTTGCCTTCGCCTCACTTAGAGGACAGCAGACACGTCAACTGGGCGATCTCTCGCCCCATAGTCAATGACCTCTCAGGGTAGACAGCGTGCGGGGGCTCCGTACCTGAAGACCGTCCGTCTCTCTCTCTCCGCTCCTGGCTGGATGTGCGGTAGAAATGTCGCGCGCGTGTGCGCGCGTTTATGCGCGCACGTCTGCGTGCGTGTCTGCGTGCGAGCGTCTGTGCGTGCGCGTGTCTGTGCGTGCGTGCGTGCCGGGGCGGCAACACGGTTCATCTGGGACAGGCGAAACGTAACCCCTTCCTCGCTACTAAAAAATTTAATTACCGCACTGGTGCGTACCGGGCGGGCGGCGCGGGTAGGATTCTCGGTGACGGCCGTTTCGCTCGTTGTTTTCGGGTCGAGGAGCGTGTGACACGGGGATGCTGGAGGGAGGGCGCACACGCACGCACGCACGCGTGGACACGTGCGGGCGCGCGTGTTCCACTGCTCGTGATGAGCTACGATGGCCCTTGAAGGATGCCGAGAGGCGATAGTAAAAAATTATGACATTATAAAAACGACACGTTGAGCCGGGTTCTCGAGCGTAGCGAGTCGGTGACCTCAGCCGGGTTACCAATAAATGCACCAAAAAAAACCCATCTCGTAAAATCTGGCGAAATCCAGCCAGGAAAATTAAAATATCAGCTTGAATGTCACACGATGAACATTACTCTCATGTGGCTGCATCTCGGAGGCAGACCGCTTGCTTTTCTTGACTGTGACGCAGTGCGGCCAGCAGCGCCTACAATCCCTCTGCGCACGCTGGGTCCCGTGGACAAACACGGGACAAAACAGCTGCTCTGTTTGGGCTGCGCATTCGTTTGCTGCCCATCACATGGCATGTACGTACGCACGCAAGGATGAACGCACAGACAGCTCCGCGCCACCCGCAGGTGACAGCCCACCGAGCTGGCACGTCTCAATAAAAGTTAATGGTTACCATTTTATTCAGTTTTAGCCGTTAGGGCTAAATGTCGCCGAATGTACGTATGTCGAACTTCCTGAGCGCCGTACGTAGCCAAACCGTGCTAATTGAATGCTAACGCTAGCCTCGCATGTTTTTGGGCTTTAAGGCAAGGGCTTCTCACACTCACACGGGCCTTCACAATCCACCACGGCGCCGCTCGTCGTGCTCGCCAACCACTACCCGATGGCTAGAAGGCTTACGGGTGGGAGAGGCGTGGACGGGCTGCTAGCCTCCCCAGGCCGAGTTGGTCAAGGGAACCGGTTTTTTTTGTTTTTTAGCACGCCGATTAGCGTGGTTTGGCAACGTCAGCCGTGGCCGGAAAAATCGAACGTGGGTCACAGTGCGGCGCGCTCAGCCGCTCCACCCATTCACGCGCACGCCGCGATCGGCGCCTGCTTACGTTGTCTGGGGCGCTGCCCAGCGACTCCTGCGTCACCACGGGTCTCAGCTCGCTGCGTCTCCTCTGCAGCACCTCCACGGGGTTGACGCGCTCCGCGCGGGCGCCTCGCGACGGAGCAGGCGCCGTCCCCTCGCCCCCGTCCGGCCGGTCGCTCGCCAACACCGCCACCTTCTCGTCGGGGTCGAGGAGGTCCAGGTACGATCGCAGGACCGCCGACCCGTCGACCCTGCTTCCCGATTGGTCGGCAACGGTGCCGGCGTCGGGGTCGAAGGTCGACGAGTCTGCTGCTGCCGCTGCCGCAGCAGCAGCAGACTTGGCAGACGGGTGGTCGGGATCGGTGGTTGCCAGACCTTCCATCGAATATTCACGCGCCAGGATTCTGCTCTCTGGGCTCTGAGAAGACAAACGTTATAATAATAATAATTATTATTTCATTATGTAGCGAGGGCAAAATCGCCCAATGATGCTGAATGTAATTACCAGCGAAACGTCACGGTACTGATATTGTAAATGTTGTGGATTTACTCTCCATCACACCCGTGGGCTGAAGCAGTAACTAATTGGCGCGTTTTGTTTACGTGACAAACCTTGCTGGTTGGCCATGTCGGGTGGTGACGGGTAAACGACACGTTTGTCCTTAAGCGATCTAACCCATCAAGCCTTTATCATGAATAATATCGGTTGCAAAAGCCTAAGTGTCAAACTGAGCCGGGGCAGCCTTGGTGAATGTTAAGTCTATTAGAGAATGGTCCTGGTTCATGTGGAATGAAATCATTAACACTTTGTAAGAAGTCAACTATTGTTGACACGTGGAGTACTGACTGCTGCAACAGGAATGTGGAATTCAACTACCGGCTTAGGGCCCCTCCCATGCTTGTGAAAGTAGGAAACCACTTCGACTTGAGTTGGACGAAAACAAGGTTTATTGGAGGAGTAAATCACGAAGACATGCACTCGATATCCTGAGTGAATGTGCTATCAAATGAACAATTACTATTTGATCAGCACACAAAAGGTGGAACCTCAAACCAGGTCTAACAGCAGGTCAGTGCAATTCAATCTCAATCTCAAATAATGCCGACACAAGTCTCTTTGAAGAAGCCACGAAGCCATCTCTGAATGTTCTGCAAGCTGCTTGCTCCACCAAAGCGACGTCGGTCATGATAAAAAAACTAAAATAAACTAATTACCCAGTGACGCACTGCACAACTAGGCTTGTGGATTTCAAGCGGTGACGTAAAATTGCACGAACCGCACAAAGGATCGCGCGCGTGCGAGCGCACGCCCCACGCAACGTCAAAAATAAACAAACAAGCGCTACAATTACAGCGCCGTTCACATTTCTCTGCGTACACCGGCAGAGTCGGCAAACAGCCGCGCGGGCGAGGCGGTGTAACGAAAACAGGGCGAGCGGGCACACGGCAGCCACCGCCACCACGAAGGTGACGGTGGTGGTGGCGGTAGTGGCGGCGGCGACAACGGCGGTGACAGCGGTGGCGGCGGTGGCGGCGGTGCTGAGAGTCTGGTGTGGCCGTGGACTGAACAGTCCCAGCCAGATCCCACGGGGACTGCAAAGTGGACGCGGTGTCCGTGTCTACGGTGACGCGCGGGAGGGACCCCGCTCACAACAGACGGGAGCCGACGGAAGGCTTCGTGCGGAGCGGGGTTCGACACCCGAAACAACGTTTACAGAGAGACGTGGGCGAGTTGACTTGTGTGCCTATTTCAGGCTGCGTCAACCTAGGGGAAGGTCCTTACCGAGTACTCATTTTGGGCCGAGTCAACCTCCGGGAAAGCCCCTCGCCACATCACGTACTTCAGGCTGAGTCAGCCTAGAGGAGGCCCCTTACCAGGATGCACTCATTTGAGGCCGAGGCACCCTAGGGAATGCCCCCGACTCGGTACTCATTTCATCGAAAGTTGAATCTCCACTTTGTCTCAAGCATCCTCAACGCGCGCGTGCACGAGATCGCGAGAAGCGGTCACGACGTGAGACGCTTCGCAAACCTCCTGTGTGGCATTGTCAGCAACTTCGGGATAAACGAAAAAAATCCGGATGCAGAGAAACTTTAAGAGCAGACCTTGAGGGTTGCGTGTAGGCCTTGCAACAGCTGTGGGATCTAGCACAAGGGAAGGAGGCGACGGCGAGGTGTGAAGGCACAAACAGCGTTGGCCGCTGACCTTTAATTCATTGGCAGCACTCACCCACTTTCACATTCACTTTTCGTCTCAAGAGCCGACGTGTGAGTCAACTTGGCGGAGGTGGCGCGAAGGGCAGAGCGCTGAACAGGCATCACTGAGATCCATCGGTTCATATCCAGGTTTCAGCCACTGTGATTTAACAGAGTTCTGAAGCGTAGTGAGTTGATGGACTCTGTCCGGTCACCAATGCACCAATAATCGACGGCACCAAAGTTGGTTCCGAATTTAAATATATAAACTCCAGCTCTTGCAAATTACAAACACCAGCTTGGCTATCATGCGACAGACAATACTTTCAGTAGCAAGGTTAGGAGGGAAAGTGACTCCCCCTATCCTGTGGATCAGCTGTCACTTGAAAGGACCTCAGATGTAGCTCTGTGATATCCGCTTCAACGGTCCATTCTCCGACACGAATGGTCGCACTGCTCTGCGATAGTTCCAATTTGATTCTTCATCTTACGACACAAAGTCCACAGCAGACGGGACAAAAACTTTTGGACAAAGGAAACTGACAACCAAGAACCCACGTGGGGAAGCGCGTCCTCTGGGTGCCTGCGGCTGGCGTTCCCCGCCGCCGCCGGTCCACGCCGCGTCTCGCCCACGGCGATCGTGACTCAGGGCGGCACCTGCCGGGCGGTTGCCCATCGCCACCGGCGCGCCCTCGCCACCACGCCGCTCACTCACCATGTTCTCGACGGTGCGCAGGTATTTCGCGCAGCGCGCGTGCCCGTTGTGTTCTGCCAAGTCGGCCGCGGAGCAGCCGTCGTTGTCGCGCACGCGCAGATCCACGCCGTTCACCACCAGGATCTGGCAGCACTGCAACGGCAAAGAACCCCCACCCGCCCCCGTCAGAGCCGACACCAGGGCTCGGCAGCCAAGAGAACACAGAAGCCGTCACGTGTTTTGTTCGAATTCGGTAAAAACAAAAAATCTCAATATTTCAAGAGCCGCAATGCGCTGCGTTGGTGAATGCGAGGCGGTGGTGGTCTTTAATAAATGTGGTCGTGAAGCAGCCCCGAAAGAGCCACACGCAGCTCCGACTCCTGGCCCACGCAGACTGTCGGGGCGAGTCGCTGTTAGCCAGCACCTATGAAGTCCGGTGCAGCAAGCGACAGGGGTGGGTGGCCAGCACCACGCCCCGGCCACCTTTGTTTCCCCAGTGCTGATCTTTACGCATCGCACCGTGTACTCACTTCAGGCGGATTCAACCGAGGCAGAGGCCCAGGATCTGTTCTGATACTCGTTATTGGGTTCGTAGTGCAGTGCGGTAACCGCTACACTACCGCTCCCCATTGGCAGCACCGCACAAACAACAACAACAACCGCCATGCGCCACTAAGTGGCGGTGACGTCGCCAGGCTATGCGCACTTCAAGGTCACGGGACAGACGGAGGTGCCACGGCTTGACCGAGTGAGATAACAGCCGAGATGCACCACTTGTGCCCCCTACAGCGACAAATTGTTTTAGCCACCTGGCGAACTTCTCGTTGCTGCACGCACGCGCACGCACGCGCACACACGCGCGTGCCACATAGTGTGACACCAAAACTGCGTTGTGGATTAGCCATAGAGTCCTAAGCGCCGTGTGCTTCAGTGAACGTTCATCATTGTTATTATTACAACTGTTTACCCTGGGTAAATCTCACTGCGTCAAGGCTCTTTTCAGGAGAGTCCTGCTAAGTGTTTGACAGTAGGGGGCGACAGGCGGCTACGTGTTTGCCAATCAAGTAAATCCGCGAGTAATGTTTCACATTTGGCATATTTTGAAGCTCGCAATGGAAGGTGTCAGTAGAGAGCTTATAGATGTCATTCGTAAGAGGAGGTTGCGATAGGTGAGGGAACACGTGCAGGGTGGAGGAGGATAGGGTGAGCAACTTGGAAGTTCGGAATGGAATGTGTAAGTTCATCGTTTCGGGAGAAATCAGTGAGCGCGGGTCATGATGGGTGAGACACGTGTGCAGGGAGCAGGAATGCACCCAGAAGATGATGACCGAACACGAGTGTGTATGGATGTTGAATGAACACGCATGTGTATGGATGTTGAATGAACACACATGTGTATGGATGTTGAATGAACACACATGTGTATGGATGTTGAATGAACACACATGTGTATGGATGTTGAATGAACACGCATGTGTATGGATGTTGAATGAACACGCATGTGTATGGATGTTGAATGAACACGCATGTGTATGGATGTTGAATGAACACGCGTGTGTATGGATGTTGAATGAACACACGTGTGTATGGATGTTGAATGAACACACATGTGTATGGATGTTGAATGAACACACATGTGTATGGATGTTGAATGAACACGCATGTGTATGGATGTTGAATGAACACGCATGTGTATGGATGTTGAATGAACACGCATGTGTATGGATGTTAAATGAACACGCATGTGTATGGATGTTGAATGAACACGCATGTGTATGGATGTTGAATGAACACACATGTGTATGGATGTTGAATGAACACACATGTGTATGGATGTTGAATGAACACACATGTGTATGGATGTTGAATGAACACGCATGTGTATGGATGTTGAATGAACACACATGTGTATGGATGTTGAATGAACACACATGTGTATGGATGTTGAATGAACACACATGTGAATGGATGTTGAATGAACACGCATGTGTATGGATGTTGAATGAACACACATGTGTATGGATGTTGAATGAACACACATGTGTATAGATGTTGAATGAACACGCATGTGTATGGATGTTGAATGAACACACATGTGTATGGATGTTGAATGAACACACATGTGTATGGATGTTGAATGAACACACATGTGTATGGATGTTGAATGAACACACATGTGTATGGATGTTGAATGAACACACATGTGTATGGATGTTGAATGAACACACATGTGTATGGATGTTGAATGAACACGCATGTGAATGGATGTTGAATGAACACGTATGTGTATGGATGTTGAATGAACACGCATGTGTATGGATGTTGAATGAACACGCATGTGTATGGATGTTGAATGAACACACATGTGTATGGATGTTGAATGAACACACATGTGTATGGATGTTGAATGAACACACATGTGTATGGATGTTGAATGAACACACATGTGTATGGATGTTGAATGAACACACATGTGTATGGATGTTGAATGAACACACATGTGTATGGATGTTGAATGAACACACATGTGAATGGATGTTGAATGAACACGCATGTGTATGGATGTTGAATGAACACACATGTGTATGGATGTTGAATGAACACACATGTGTATGGATGTTGAATGAACACACATGTGTATGGATGTTGAATGAACACACATGTGTATGGATGTTGAATGAACACACATGTGTATGGATGTTGAATGAACACGCATGTGTATGGATTTTGAATGAACACACATGTGAATGGATGTTGAATGAACACGCATGTGTATGGATGTTGAATGAACACGCATGTGTATGGATGTTGAATGAACACGCATGTATATGGATGTTGAATGAACACACATGTGTATGGATGTTGAATGAACACACATGTGTATGGATGTTGAATGAATACACATGTGTATGGATGTTGAATGAACACACATGTGTATGGATGTTGAATGAACACACATGTGTATGGATGTTGAAAGAACACGCATGTGTTTGGATGTTGAATGAACACACATGTGTATGGATGTTGAATGAACACACATGTGTATGGATGTTGAATGAACACACATGTGTATGGATGTTGAATGAACACGCATGTGTATGGATGTTGAATGAACACACATGTGTATGGATGTTGAATGAACACACGTGTATGGATGTTGAATGAACACGCATGTGTATGGATGTTGAATGAACACACATGTGTATGGATGTTGAATGAACACACGTGTATGGATGTTGAATGAACACACATGTGTATGGATGTTGAATGAACACGCATGTGTATGGATGTTGAATGAACACACATGTGTATGGATGTTGAATGAACACGCATGTGTATGGATGTTGAACTTCTTTCGCACAGTAAGCAGCCAGCCGTGCGAAGCGGAGGTGCGGGGGAAGGGAAACAAGCGAAAACACAAAAAGCAGTTCGAATGAAATTCGTTTTCAATCTAGACTCAACAGTGCATAGCTCCATTGGCTTCCGAAGAGCGTTCCAGACGGCCGCAGAAGCGCATCTGACAGAGCGCGATGCGGCAACCATCTCTGCGCGACGGAGGAGCCAAAACCCGCCGCTGCCGCGAGGGCGCCCGGCGTTGGCGTAGTCGTGGCGTTGGCGTGGTGGTGGCGTTGGCGTGGTGGTGGTGGCGTTGGCGTGGTGGTGGCGTTGGCGTGGTGGTGGTGGCGTGGTGGTGGTGTTGGCGTGGTGGTGGTGTTGGCGAGGTGGTGGTGTTGGCGTGGTGGTGACGTTGGCGTGGTGGTGGCGTTGGCGAGGTGGTGGCGTTGGCGTGGTGGTGGCGTTGGCGTGGTGGTGATATTGGCGTGGTGGTGGTGTTGGCGTGGTGGTGGTGTTGGCGTGGTGGTGGCGTTGGCGTGGTGGTGGTGGTGTTGGCGTGGTGGTGGCGTTGGCGTGGTGGTGGTGGCGTGGTGGTGGTGTTGGCGTGGTGGTGGTGTTGGCGTGGTGGTGTTGGCGAGGTGGTGGTGTTGGCGTGGTGGTGGCGTTGGCGTGGTGGTGGCGTTGGCGTGGTGGTGGCGTTGGCGTGGTGTTGGTGTTGGCGTGGTGGTGGTGTTGGCGTGGTGGTGGTGGTGGTGTTGGCGTGGTGGTGGTGTTGGCGTGGTGGTGGTGGTGTTGGCGTGGTGGTGCTTCGCGCGTCCTCGACGAGCCACGAAACCAGACGGCACCGTCCTCGGCCGCCGCTACCTGCAGGTGACCGTTCTCGGCGGCGTCGTGCAGCGGCGTGCCGCCCCAGGCGTCGCGCGTCGGCTCCCCGCCGTGCAGCAGCAGCCAGCTCAGCACCGTGCCGTGGCCCCGGCTCGCCGCGAAGTGCATGGCCGTGGCGCCGTCGGCGTCCGTGTCGCTCAGACGCAGCGCCGTGGAGCTCACCTGCGGCGGGGAGGCGTGGCGGTTGCGGAGAGGTTCGGAGAGGAGGGCGGACGCAGCGGGGGGGGGGGGGGGCGGAAAGATTTCACGATTTTATGCGAAGTACGATTTGGCTGCGATGGAGACGATTGCGCAATGCTGTTAAGGTCAGGAGGCGGCCACAACCGATGCTGTTGCTGCCAACACACCCCGCCATCGCTTTCTTGCTCTCTCGTGGGTCTTGCAGCTGTTGCAAAAACTGCACAATGCACCTTGCGGTCACCCATCTCAAACCACGGACCACGTGGCGACGCCACTGCCCGCGTCGATCAGCGGCTCACTCGCCAACCTCGACGTGAACGCACGTGGGCGCCGCTGGTCAAACCCCCACCACGCGAAGGAAAGGGGCCTCCGAGGCCTGCTCGCAATCTCATCTTTTGGCTTTGCCTCCTTGTAACAGTCAACACGCATCCTTCAAGGATCACCTGAGCATTCTCATCACGCCACCGCCTGGCCTTTTGGTATTTTGTTCGCTTTGGGTGGAATCTTTCAAGTACTCCTCTCAGAGGGTGTCACTACAATTCTTGTCTTGGTCACCCCCCCTCCCCCACCATCGTAACTGCTCCTTTATAATGACATCTACAATGCTTCCCTGTTGTTTTCTGAATTCCCACGTTGATTAACCTATCCTGCCCAAGCCCACATGCTAGTCTTACCAGCCACCACGGTGTATTTAACTTGCGTATGTTCCATAGTCCATACCTCGCAGTCTAATTCGAAGCATGGACATCTCCACGTTCCTTTTGGACAATTTTCAGTTTTGCTTTCCCATTTTCATTTTCAAGAATCCATTAAAATGTAAACAATTGCATTACCAGTCCAGCCTGCCATTGTGTGGGTGCAAGTGTCAGGGTCCAACCTACCCGGCCCACTCTGTCAGGACCCACCCTGTCAGGACCCACACTGTCAGGGCCCACACTGTCAGGGCCCACACTGTCAGGGCCCACCCTACCAGACCCACCAAACTAGGGCCCAACCTACCGGTCCACTCTACCAAGGTCCACCCTGTCAGGGCCCACCCTACCCAGACCCACCCTACCAGAGACACCCTACTGGGCCAACCCAACTAGGGCCCACTCTGCCGGCCACACCACCCTGTCAGGGCCCACCCTAGCGGGGCCCACCCTACCCAAGACCTCCCACGTGCGTCTCTTGCGTCCCTCTCCTCGCTCTGCCCCCCCACGCCCCGCCGGGGAGCGCCGCACCAGCCACACGATGACCGTGGCGTGTCCCATCTGCGCGGCGGCGTGCATGGCCGTCATGCCGTCGCTGGCCCGCGCGCTCGTCTCGGCGCCGCACTCCGTCGCCAGGTACTGCAGACAGTCGAGGTGGCCCTCCTGGCACGCCAGGTAGAGCGGCGTCGCTCCCGCACCCGTGCGGCTGTTCAGCGTCCTGCGTGGGTGTGCGCGTGTGTGCGCGTGTGGGTGTGTGTGTGCACGTGTGGGTGTGTGTGTGCACGTGTGGGTGTGTGTGTGTTCGTGTGTGTGTGCGCGTGTGTGCGTGTGTGTGTGCGCGTGTGTGTGTGTGTGCGTGTGGGTGTGTGTGTGCACGTGTGGGTGTGTGTGTGCGCGTGTGGATGTGTGGGTGTGTTCATGTGTGTGTGCGCGTGTGTGTGCGGGTGTGTGTGTGGGTGGGTGTGTGTGCGTGTGTGCGCGTGTGGGTGTGCGCGCATGGGTGTGTGCGCGTGTGTGTGTGTGCGCGTGCGCGTGTGGGTGTGCGCGTGTGGGTGTGTGCGTGCGCGTGTGTGTGTGTGTGCACAAAGGTTCGGTTACATTAAAAAAACAAGTTTTACTGTAACCATGACAAACGAGGTGGCTTGATGGGTCGGAGGTCCGAGGGCTGAGCCGGACGATGGAAGGTGGTCAAGAGTAAGAATGGAGTGGCAAGCCAAGGAATGGAACGTGTCCAAATGGAACATCCACCAAGAAAGTGGAGTTGTGAGGTCAGTTCCTTTGCAGGTGCTGGGTGGCTTGTTGTCATCAGAGGATCGTGAGAGGTTGCGGTGGCCGAGGAAGGCCTTCATCTAGTGGTGGATTGATCACGGCTGATGATGACGATGACAACGATGATATGAATTGAGAGTCGGCAATTTTTACGTGCACAATTCCACCACGTACTGTGAACATAAAAGTCCAATCGAATCAACGATTCCACGCACCGCTACGTGCCGGGTACATTAGAGGAGCGCTCCTCAGCGGCGTGCGAAGTTTGTCTGCGCAGCTCCTGTAGACACTACATTACAACGGGGAAATCATTTTTCGATCAACGTGGCACTTTTCAGGAACGCATCTAACACGTTAAGCGAGGACTTCTTGTACCGTACTATATACAGAGAATAGCAAATCATGCAGTTGCGTGACTTCACCAACAGATGGCAACTTTGCTCGCTCTGTCCTGGCCAAGCGGAAACCATTCGACACTCGCGGCCTTCCGACAGCAGCAGCAACGCAAATGCCAACCCGGCACTCGAGCACGAATTGAACGTGGAAATACATCCGAGGCATTCACGACGTTAAATCAACGCAAAAGCCGCCACAAAGTTTGACCGTGCAATTTGTGTTCCACAGTGCAACAGAATAGTTACTGATACATTTTAAAAAAATATAAATTCGATGACACAAGACAGCCCGGAATGCGGCCGATCGCATTTGACCCCGGCAGCTAAGCAGGGATGAACCCAGCGAACAATGGTGGAGCCAGGATTTTCAGGTAGAGGGGGCAACCCCTCCAGCAATGAAAAATTATAGGAGTTCATATTCTTAGTTTTTTCGGTAAAGTCACGTGACTTTACCGAAAGTCACGTGACTTTACCGAAAAAACTAAGAATATGAATTACTGCAGTCACGAAAGCTTTAGATCAAAATTTAATTATAGGAGTTGTTAGTAAGTAAGGAGTTGTTAGTAAGTAAGGAGTTGTTGGTGAGTAAGGAGTTGTCAGTGAGTAAGGAGTTGTTAGTGAGTAAGGAGTTGTTAGTGAGTAAGGAGTTGTTAGTAAGTAAGGAGTTGTTAGTAAGTAAGGAGTTGTTAGTAAGTAAGGAGTTGTTAGTAAGTAAGGAGTTGTTAGTGAGTAAGGTGTTGTCAGTAAGTAAGGAGTTGTTAGTAAGTAAGGAGTTGTCAGTGAGTAAGGTGTTGTCAGTAAGTAAGGAGTTGTTAGTAAGTAAGGAGTTGTTGGTGAGTAAGGAGTTGTTAGTGAGTAAGGAGTTGTTAGTAAGTAAGGAGTTGTTAGTGAGTAAGGAGTTGTTAGTAAGTAAGGAGTTGTTAGTAAGTAAGGAGTTGTTAGTGAGTAAGGAGTTGTTAGTGAGTAAGGAGTTGTTTGTAAGGAGTTGTTAGTAAGGAGTTGTTAGTAAGTAAGAAGTTGTTAGTAAGTAAGGACTTGTCCCTTGCTTTTTATTCAACGCGTGTGCGGCGATGGCGCGGCGATGGCGCAGCAATCGATCGAGGGTCGAATTCGAACCGCGTTGTGTGATCGGCATCGCGCTCGCTGAAGGTGAATGCCTTCAGGGAAGTCGTGGCCTCTGTATACGCAACTGCGCACAATTCTGCGAGTCACTTATAACTGCTTTGCCGTTACTTATTGCCAGTTATCATCTTATAGAGTCCCTGGCACATAATAATAGGCTACACAGTGGCAGTGGGGGTCGCAAAATGCCGATTTATTACTAATACACCCCAATGATCCGATCGAAATGAGGGATTTCGATCGGATCATTGGGGGGGCACGTGCCGGCCCCCCCCCCCCCGGCTCCGCAAGTGCTGGCGAGTGCTTGGATGGGTTGGCACCGTGAACAAACCGGCTGCAACGTGCTGCTGCGTTGCTCCAAGCTGGGCAGCAGAGGGCAATGCAGCAAAAACTAACTGCAGTATTGTACTGCACTTCTACGCTGCCACATCTATGATCCTTGGCTTCGGCAAGTCACGTGACCAGCGGCTGCGCAGTACGGGCAGGTAGCCCTGCACGACCCGCACGGCTTGGGCACGGGTCCTCACCCAGCCCCCATCCAGCAGCGGAGCGGACCGCGCCATGCATAGGCAGGGGTCGCGACAGATGGGCCGTCGTAACCCCGTTGACAAGAACCACCGCGGCCAGGAACCCTTTGACGGGGGCGGCTCGTAACGGGAAGACCCGTGGAAACACTCTCACATCACTCGGCCTATTTATACCCGCCACTATCCTGCTCAATAATTCAGAGTTCCGCAAAAGGGGGCTCGGATTTCTGTTCTATCTCTCGCTGGGGGCTGCCTAGTGGCGTGTCCGCAAACCGCGTGTCGCGACGGGCAATCTGTGCTGCGTCGTCGGTTGCGGTTTTGTCCCAGTTGGTCCAGCCACCCGAAATCTAACGGTGGAGAGGGGGCAACGCTCTATCCCACCCGCCTCGCCCGATATGTGTTGAGATCCAGCTCGGCACCTCGATCCCACCGCCTAGCCACCTCCCGATTCTGTGCATGTACACGCGCGGCCCGATTGGGCAATCCACTGCTGGATGAAGCTCTCCCCATGCGGTGTGGATCACGCGAGATATTGGACTATGCTTCACCGTGCTCGTCAGTATGGGTTGAAGGTGGGGAGAGAGCATGGGAGCATAGAAGTACAGTACAAGCATCGATATTGCTTCACTGTCCTCTGCTGCCCACAACAAAGCACCACACTCCATAACAAGCTGCCATGGTTGGTGTTCACCCATTCAAATAACTATCAGAATCAGAATATTTATTTTTACAGGAGGAATCCGATGAGCTATAAAGCTCTTTGTCTCCAGGCTGCGACAAGTCGTGGGCTGTGGAACACACATACATAATTGTTGAGAAGCAAGTGCGCAAAAATGAATGTCAAATAAAATAATCCTGAAAGTACAGCGATGACAAATGAGAGACCTTCCCAACGAACTCTGAGGCGTTGCTATTCAGCGTCTAAAGCTACAACGCCGCGTGTCGAGAGCGTCACAAAAACTAAACAACCACTGGGCTCGCAAGAGGCGCTCTCACGCTCACTCACACTCACGCACACTCGCTCTCAGTCACTCACACTCGCACACTCTCACACGCTCTCACGCTCACTCACACTCACTCTCAGTCACACTCACTCACACTCACTCTCAGTCACACTCACTCACACTCACTCTCAGTCACACTCACGCACACTCGCTCTCAGTCACTCACACTCGCACACTCTCACACGCTCTCACGCTCACTCACACTCACTCTCAGTCACACTCACTCACACTCACTCTCAGTCACACTCACTCACACTCACTCTCAGTCACTCACACTCGCACACTCTCACTCACACGCTCTCACGCTCACTCACACTCGCTCTCAGTCACACTCACTCACACTCGCTCTCATGCTCACTCACACTCACTCACACGCTCTCAGTCACACTCACTCACACTCACTCTCAGTCACACTCACTCACACTCGCTCTCAGTCACACTCACGCACACTCGCTCTCAGTCACTCACACTCGCACACTCTCACTCACACGCTCTCACGCTCACTCACACTCGCTCTCACGCTCACTCACACTCGCTCTCAGTCACACTCACACTCGCTCTCATGCTCACTCACACTCACTCACACGCTCTCAGTCACACTCGATTACTCACACTCGCTCACTCATATCTCGCTCTCACGCTCACTCACACTCGCTCACTCACACGCTCACACTCGCTCACACGCTGAGTCATTCTCACTCACTCATACTCTCTCATTTACTCACTCACACGCTCTCACTCATTCTCAGTCACACTCACTCACACGCTCTCACTCACACTTACTCACACGCTCTCACTCACACTCACTCACACGCTCTTACTCACACTCACTTAGTCACACGCTCTCACTCACTCACACTCACTCACACGCTCTCACTCGTTCTCAGTCACACTCACTCACACGCCCTCACTCACACTTACTCATACTCTCTCACTCACACTCACTCACATGCTCTTACTCACACTCACTTAGGCACACGCTCTCAATCATTCTCAGTCACACTCACACGCTCTCACACTCACGCACACTCTCTCACTCACACTCATTCACTCACACGCTCTTACTCACACTCACTCAAACGCTCTCACTCACACACGCTCTCACTCACAGTCACTGTCACACTCGCTCTCAGTCACACTCACACTCTCACACTCACACTCTCTCACTCACACGCTCTCACTCACACTCACTCACACTCTCTCACTCACACTCGCTCTCACTCACTCTCTCACTCACACTCGCTCTCACTCACTCTCTCACTCACACTCGCTCTCACTCACTCTCTCACTCACTCTCTCACTCGCTCTCACTCACTCACACTCGCTCTTACTCACACGCTCTCATTCACAACAACAACCGCCATTCGCCACTAAGTGGCGGTGACGTCACCACGACGCTTG